GTTTCCGACGCGTCGTTGCGTCGCTCCGTTCAGCTCCGCCCAGTTTCGGGTGTACCTCTACCAAATGGATGGATGGATGCTAATGGCTATATTTATAACGGGCGGTAACTCGCGCCACCTAGCCTAGAAAACTAAAATACTTCCCTCGCCCTTCTTCGTTTTTCTGACTTTAAAACAAACGTAATATTTTTATTACATTCTATCAAAGTGTGCGTGTGTGAAGATTTTCCGTGAGGCTATTTTTGTGCTCAACATCACTTAATCGCGAAGGACCGCAGCGGACCTTAGAGCCATCCCAGCGAAACGAGCACTGCGTACAAATCACGTGACTACGTACCGCGCGCATTGTTGCGTCTCTCCCGAAGCTCACATGACACATGACATTGGAATGGCTCGTAGCGTCCGCTGCTGTCCATCCTAAGGTGAAACGGAGTATATTCGGGTTTCGACGGGCTTGATCGGTCCCAGAAGGCAGGCTTGCTTTGGCGCTCGAAATCAGCAGCTCGTTTTGTGCGCGCGGGAAAACTCGATGGCGTCCGTTTCCTTCACAACCACGACCCGCCGCGCGTGACGCACAGCGCACCGCCACATCCGCCTCCCCGAACCACATGGCGCCTCCTCGCCCGATCGGTCCGAAAGTCACTTGACAACATGACCTTCGCCATCCGTGCTCATTGGCTGCGGCCACTGCGGCCTTCCGAAAATCGGACCGTGCGTGCGGCGATATCTGGCAAGTTGGACGCACGCGGGCGCCGGACGGAGCCCCCGTCCGACGATCCGGTGCGACGAAAACCCTCGCCCTCGGACGTCGTTCCGGCGGTTCGCACGTCGGATCGCATGGCTTTTTCGCGCATGTGTCTCGAAGCGCGAGACACATGCGCGAAAAAGCCATGCGATCCGACGTGCGAACCGCCGGAACGACGTCCGAGGGCGAGGGTTTTCGTCGCACCGGAGCGTCGGACGGGGCCTCCGTCCGGCGCCCGCATGCGTCCAACTTGCCAGATATCGCCGCACGCACGGTCCGATTTTCGGAAGGCCGCAGTGGCCGCAGCCAATGAGCACGGATGGCGAAGGTCATGTTGTCAAGTGACTTTCGGACCGATCGGGCGAGGAGGCGCAATGTGGTTCGGGGAAGCGGATGTGGCGGTGCGCGGTGCGTCACGCGCGGCGAGTCGTGGTTGCGAAGGAAACAGACGCCATCGAGTTTTCCCGCGCGCACATAACGAGCTGCTGATTTCGAGCGCCGAAGCAAGCCTGCCTTCTGGGACGTCTGGGACCGATCGAGCCCGTCGAAAGCCGAATATACCCCGTTTCACCTTAGGATGTACAGCAGCGGACGCTACGAGCCATTCCAATGTCATGTGAACTTCGGGAGAGACGCAGTTATGTGCGCGGTACGTAGTCACGTGATTTTTACGCAGTGCTCGTTTCGCTGGGATGGCTCTAAGGTCCGCTGCGGTCCTTCGCGATTAAGTGATTTCGAGCAGAAAAATAGCCTCACGGAAAATCTTCACACACGCACACTTTAATAGAAGGTAATAAAAATATTATGTTTGTTTTAAAGCCAGACATACCAGGAAGGGCGAGGGAAGTATTTTAGTTTTCTAGGCTAGGTGGCGCGAGCTACCGCCCGTTATAACTATAGCCATTAGCATCCATCCATCCATTTGGTAGAGACACCCGAAACTGGGCGGAGCTGAGCGGAGCGACGCAACGACGCGTCGGAAACCATGTGTCGCGAACCGTCCTGTGCGGCGATTCGGAGCAGCCATCTTCCCGACAGTTCGCACGCCGGATCGGACAGTTTTGACGCGCATGTGTCTCGCGCTTAAAGGGGCCCTCCGGAGCGTTCTGCGATGGTCTATTTATGGCAGGAACTCAATCTACAGGCCCCAAGGATCCTAAAAATCATAAAATCACGGTCATGCGCGGCGGATTTCCCTAGTAAAATCGCTATCAAAGTCCCCGGCACGCCAACCTTTCTGAGATGACCCCGGAAAACGGGACGGGCATCTCTTTACGCGTCAGCCAATAGCAAGCGAAGGATTCCGGCGTCATTGCGCGTCACCAACGCGGCCGACCGCCGACCCGCGGGGGAATCTCTCCGGACTTAGTGCTCGGCAGTCGTCGTTCGTCGCACCGCACCGTCGCGCTGCTACTGCAATACGCAGTCGCATTCCACAGATGACAAGGAAAAGTTTGACTCGTTGACGTGGAGGGCTCGCAAAGCTGGCTTCGGAGTCGGGATCCACGGGAAGAAGGAACACGTGTCCCGCAAACGCACGCCTGCAGACGCCCCGGGAGGCAGACAAGCCGACGCGCCGACGCATCACCCCCTAGCAATAAGCTTGCGGGGAGAAAACATAGTTCGCTGGTTTTGGAGCGATAATTGCGGACTATGTTTCCCGCACCACAATCAGTTTACGTTTTTCTCAAACTCTAATTTACAACGAGCTTAAAAGTGTTGCAATAATAACGTTCGCATTCACCGCGAGATGCAGCATTTCCATTGGTCAAGTTTTAGCGATGGGCAGGGAATGGAGGATTGCCTTCCAAGAGAAAATAGTCCCGATATATTTCTTCTGCCATCTGCTTAATAAACGGTTATGTAATCTAAAACTTTGTATACATATTAACTTGCACCTAGTACGCAATATAACAACATAAACAGACGATCGCAGAAAGCTCCGGAGAGCCCCTTTAACTGCTTCTCCTTCCATCTTTCCAAACTTTTTTTTGTATGTTTCTTTTTTTTTTTTAGGCGATCAGATTTTAGGGGAGAGTTACGGGGCCACAGATGAAAGTTTCCGATTCTGCGTGCGGCGGGAAAGAACGCGGTCGGCGGGATTTCCGCTGATTTCGCTAGTCTAAATGTAATCGTAACCTCTGGTGGGTAGCCAGAACATTGACATGGTTCCACATTTTGCGGATGCGTTTCGGACACGGATACAAAGTATGCGAATGCGGATCGGATACGGACACAATAATGTAACAAGTTTGCGGATGTGGTTCGGATGCGGATACAAAGTCTGCGGATGCAGATCGGATGCGGATACTTAAACTGTTATCCGCGCAGGGCTCTGGGGTGGGAGAGGGGGAAGACGCCCCGCCCTGCTGCACTGTGATTGGTTGGATCGGGTCGGACACCGCCCTCCTACGTTGTGATTAGTGGTGTCCGAACTGGTGCACATTTCCTACTACTTAAATCCCAGCTAGAAGATTGCAGTATTTTTAAATTTAAAAAAAACAGTTCTGCAGCGCGAGTTTCCGCTCCACGCGCTCCCAGCTGTGCTGCGTTACTCAGGGGCGCCGATCCTTCTTTTAATTCTTCCATTGTTTTTTCTACAGTCTCCTAGTTTCAACTTGACAGTAAAAGTAAAATTAGATGTACTAACGTAGAGCAGCGCGTAGAACATTTTTCTTTCTAAAATTTAAAACAACTACTATATATTTTGAAAAAAAACATTCATGTGCAGGCCAGATTTAGTGCAGAAACATAATGATAACTAAAAGTGTTTTGCCTTAGCTGTCATAAATAAAACATCCTAGAATGTTCCCATGAAAACTAGCAAATATGGCTCAAAAACGCAATTTCGCAGCTTTAGAATATGCACAGGGCACAGTTTTCCACACGCGCCTGATTGCAAAACAGCTTTTCCAAAATCCTTTTGTTTTTAAATTCTACGTTCTATTTTAAATGGCTCAAGAAAGACCAGTGAGATTGAAGAACAGTAGGTGCGCTATACGCCAGTATTACTCATTGCGCGATAATGACAAAAAAAAAACTCAAAATATCTTTATAACGCAAATCCTATCTTTTTGTCTACATATCGGAATAAATTAAAACAAAAATATTCACAGGAAGATGAAACTTTAGTTTATAATTTTATTTTCAAGAAGGTATTTGATAAACAGAAAAAAAAAATTTAGAGTACTAAAAATGGGACTTCATTTTGCACTAGTAAAAAAACTAGGGCTGGGCGTCGATTAAAAGTTTTAACCCGATTAATCGCCACCCTTTAATCGATTAATTAATCGATTAATCGGTCTCGTTTATTTCATTGGAAATTATTAAAAGAAGTCTTTTTTTTGCTGAATCTGTGATAAACGGTGCAATGTACAACTTGGATTATTAATTAATCAAGATCACTATCAGATATCTTTCACAAAATATTACTTTTGCTGCGTGAGGCAAAGATATGTTCGTTGATATTCTCTAGAAAGAGAGACTTCCTTTCATTGTTGACAATAGTCTCTACTGCGCTAAACAGACACTCGAACGACATTGAAATGGCCGGGGACTTGCGTAACCTCTGCACTAAATCTGATGCTAAAAATATATCGCCTATACAGTTTACCTTATTCTAAAATTTGACCTAAAGTTCGCCCTTCGTACAGGCGTACTCGTCCACGTCTGCGTTATGGAAGGGTTTGACGGAGGCTTATTGCGGAGAAGACGCCGTGTAACCGAGCTTCCGGTTGCACGTCAAAAGATCCCCAGGTGGTCGAAATTAATCCTCAGTCCTCCGCTGGGGCGTGCCAGATGCCCGTCGTTGGTTTGGCACGTAAAACCCCCAAATTTGACTTTGATGGAAGGGTTTAATTTAGAGTTTTTTGGTTCGTCTAAATTTTACCGATTAACCAGTTAAAAAATTTAATCGCGATTAAAGCATTAATCGATTAATCGGTAGGTTAATCGATCAATTGCCCAGCCCTAAAAAAAACCAGCATCACTTAAGATACAGAAACATTTAACAACCATAATTCCATATCCATAATATCAGGCTTCGATCGAGGGTAATCTGGGGATAGCGTGTCTCGATATTCGAGTTCCCCTATCTGCAGACTGTAATACCTAAATATCTGTAAAGATTTGACCGAAAAGGTGAACATTTTACATTAGGGTAAACTTGAAAATAACGTAATCTAATCATGTCAGGGTGAGAAATTCAAGATATACGTTTTCATTACAACCCTCTATTTAATCTTACTTCTTGCAGGTAAAAGTCAAATGTTCTTTCAGCGGTTCATCTGGCACGAGAAGAAGTATGAAATGATGGATTCCGATCGGAAAACGGTCGATAATCCTCCAGGCGTGTATTCTCTGAAAAATAAGTCACCATTAGGCTTACAAGGCATTTTAGAGACGAGGCTTATAAATCTGATCGAGTACGGAGAATTCAAAGATGCTGTACTATCTTCACTTAGAAGAATACCGAAGCCCAAGGATATAAGTGGATACTAAAACAAGTACAAAATCCCCTCGAGACCCGCGTACATTCAACCATCTTTATTCTTAAATAAAAGTTGTCAAAAGTACAATTGCTGTGTACGCCATGTTGCAAGATTACAAAACGTAAACATATATTGTCTGACTCATATCATAATATGGCGAGCAAATTAATAAACATATAATTTACAAACAATACAAACATCGTCCCTGTAGAAAGCATTGCTGCTGAATAAATATTCTCAAAATGTTTAAACGTATTCAAGGTAAATTCGCATAAATTTCACAGTTAATATTTTGTTTGAATGCTATTAATGGTATAATCGTGGTAGTGCTACAGAGTGAAATATGTGTTTTAGAAAGTGCAGTGTGCGCGCGTTGTAATAATTTAAATGCAATAAAGCTGTTACAATTTTCAAAAAGCCGTAAAAGTTCCCCCCTGGTGGTCTCAAATATTCCTAAGAAGAAAACTCTAACCTAAGGTGGATCGTTTAGGTTGCATTATCAGAAACCACCGAGGTAAGGGAGTCATTGGTCTTCATTCCACCTACGTAAGATAAATATTAAAGTTCTTAATATTACCGGTTGTCGCCTTTTCCTGCCCTCTTACAGTTGTTGATGATTGATTCATCCATCCATTAATTCATTCATTTCTCGTACTCATGAGCAACTGATGCCTAGGTTAATATTTATAAATATTGAGATCACGACTTAGTCAAAAACAGCTGAAAATATAAATACATTCCGTTAAAAACGCAAATATCCTATGAACAGAAGGTATTATATGAGTGTTACATGCGGGTAAAGGGGCTAATTAAGACAACGATGTGCGCGGCATCATGCGACTTTGAATTTGCACGTGCCACGCGCATTCAATCGTGAGCGTGCGAGAGAGGCGAAGTCAGCGACAAAAGGGAGACGTCGTTTGAAGCGTTAGGAACGCGGGTCAACGCCGGAGGCAGCAGAGAGCGGCAGAGAAAGACGGTCGGACTATGGGATCGAGCTCCTGGCCTGACTTCCGGTCCATCCCAGTACCAAGCCTTCGCTGAAGTTTGGTGTGCGTGCTCCAGGAGAACCTCGCAAGACCACGGCAGTACCGACTCCCCGGACGGGCTATTCCGGACACCGACGCCTCCTCTCGACAACTCAAGTCGCCACTGGCTCAACGCTGCCTGCCACCGGGAAACTGAAGCGGTTCTGCATTTGAGGGAAAACACCAAAATCATCCCCATTTGGCCTCCAGGATAACGAATATCAAGATTGTTTTTCAATCTGGTGCATGGAGGCTGCCAAAATTATTTTTTAAAGTACCGCTGAAGCCCTCCTTCCCGGGGCTTGACGTAAGACTAGGAGTTTTTGGAATCCCTGCTCTCGCGCACCTTCAGCGCCTGTCAAAGCTATGCACGCGCAATTTTGATATCTTCAAAGAGGTCAAAAAGGAACGTCACGACTGGCGTCAGTGCGGAAAAATACAGCTGGCAACCTTGCAATTGCACACGCTGCCCACACGATTTACGCGTGCTTGGCGGCGCAAAGATCCTAGTATGACGTCACGACTGGTCGGAGGTTCTTCGTTCTTTCTCGCGTGTAGTTACATCCCCGGGGAAAGCGAACGTGCTGTTCAGATTCACGGGATAAAAATACGCCAGAATTCACCTCTAACTCATTATTTTCAAGTGTTTTAGCTTCCCTTTAAGGCTCGTTCGCACACTCGCAACTGAGTAGGAACGACCAAGACAAAACCGGGTTTTAAGCCTCTTGCACACCATAAAAGAAATGTTAAATTAAATTATAACATTGCATAATTCTTCTGGCTTGAGCGGCGTCGGAGTCGCCATCGCCGTCGGCGTAACCGTGAGGTCACGTGACCCTCGTGACTTCACTAGAATCACGTGACGTCACGAGGGTTACGTGACGTAACGTGATGCATTGCATGGAGGAGGGCATACCCTTCCCTCCTCCTCCTCAAGAGCTGCGCTCTAATTCGGCGTTACAAGAAGTTGTAAACGTCTTTCTTTTTTTTAGCAAATAAAATTTTTTCAAAATTCAATGTTTTCACGCTAAATTTTCCCACTAAACTTAGCGAAGCAGCTTATCAAGCAAAAAATTATCTACAATACGTATTGTGCTAACCCATTTACCCGTCAAAACTTGAAGTCCTAAATCCGAGTACAGAAGTAAGAAATAAAGAACGAATTAGACTAAAACCCCGAGACTAGGACGAGAAGGGACGGACAAACACAAAGTCTCAGAAAACCTTGTGTTTGTCTTCTGTTTGTGTCCGTCCCTTCTCGTCCCAGTCTCGGGGTTTTAGTAAAATATTTAACCACCGGCAGCTCGTTTGCGCCCTAACTTTTTGTTCACTAAAGACCGAATATTTCAGTGACATGCATCATCAGGAGGTTTGTGCTATACATCTCACCTGCGGCGCAAAATGCAGCGGCCAAACGGAACACTGCGCAAACGATAGCGTACATGAGCATCAAAACGAAGCAAAATCTAAATCGGAACATCTCACTAATCTTATTCATGCGAAATAGCGCTTCGGTTGTGCACTAGGCTTTTACCGACACAAAAGTGTTAGCTGGGGAGGAAGAAGGGGGGAGGGGGGGGGGGGGGGGGAAGGAAGGCGAGGTAGGTTGGTAGAAGGCGTAGGCGAGGTAGGTCGGTGGGAGGGGAGGGCACCGCCAAGGCCAAGGGCAAAAATCATTGGGGGATACCGGATTATCTAAGCAATAAATAACGTGTCATCCGTATCACTCAATTTGGTGATGTGTAAAGTAGAATTTATTAAACTAAAACTAAATAAAGACAGTATTAAAAAAGGTTTTGGTATTGGTTTTTGTTTTCCTTTTTTCTTTCCCTTTCCATTCCTTATTTAGTTTGCTTCACTTTCGTTTGTTTCTAATAAATAATTTTCCTAAATAAAACAGAGCGAATTCCCTTTGTTTTTTTGTTTTTTTTTTAAATATTTTTCAAGCTACGGCGTGCATGCTGTTTTCTCTTTAGTCTTAAAGCGCGGCACCAGCGGCGATAAGCGTTGAAGCGCGCGTTTCTGCGGGTTTGCGTTTACACCAAGTTTAAAAAATGCATAGCGAATGAAACGCTAACCATTGGCAAATAAAGACGTCAAATGCTGCTTTACAAGACACACCGTCGTTGCAAATTATTTTCCCTTTGCGCATTGTCTCCTTTCGCAGTCGCTCGTCGTTGCTTCGTATTCTTCATGTTTTGTTGAAAACTGAAATGACATTTGACTCATTTCTGCATTAGCAGCTCTTGCGCCATAAAAAAACACTGAATCAAACGAAACTCAAGGAGAGTGCTTAATGCTGCCGAATATCACCCACAAAACACAGGCCTGGGCGCTTGTTGGTTCCCGTGGCGAGGAGAGCTCGGTCGCGCGCGGTGCATGCCGGTCGTGCCAGGGTCCTTCTGTCTGCAAACATGGCGTCGGTGGTGATCGCCGCTGTGGACGGCGAGGTGGAAGCTCATCGTTCCGCCTAAAAGCGCTATCCTTGACTGTGAATTTTCGTCGTGTGTCGTTATGATAACCCAGCACGTACTAAAAGGGAAGATCCACCTACTCGTGCGGCGATCTCGTGGCGGCACTCTCAAGACAGCAGAAACGCCCATGCCGTCGTGTTTGTTTACTTCGACTACGGAGGTGCTTTCTTAGCATTTGTGTCCTTGAACATCACCCAGATTTCTTTTTTGGCGCATTCCATGCGTGTGCTCAAGTTCAAGGTATTACTGGTGCGTATCATATAAAGGTAGCGAATTTTCACGCGTTTTCATCACCCGAGAAAGCTGATTAGTGTTAGCAATCCTGAACGTTCGCAACGTCTCGCTCGCAACGTCTATCTGATCACAAAATTATATTTCTTCGTTGCTATATCGTTGCTAAGATTATCGTCTTTTATAATCGTAGAAAAGGCGTGTGGCGAGACTTGTACTGTTGACAAAGTCGTGTATTAAAAGTCGTGATAGTGTAAGACGGCGTACTGCATCTTTTTCTTCTTTTTTTTTAATGCACACCCTGCAAGCTTATCCCGAGAAATAAAAGAAATAAAGTTTGTGGTAATAGAAGACGGTCTGTCTATTTTCTGTTACGCAAGTGAGTGGCAGCGCGTCCCCTTCTTTTTAAAGGCGGTCGCCGTGCTGCCGACGCATTGCGCTTGTTGCAGGCTGCAGGGTTGCAGGAGTGTACGCGCGACGCAGAGCGGTCGTTCCGGTCACAACGGAGGCAGTCGTGGATAACGGGTTCGTTTCAGATGTCTGAACCAGCCTTTACACAGCTATTGTAGGCGCACAGCAGATCTTCGTCACTCTACGCCGTAGCCGAAACCTCCGGCTGCTTTGGTGGACCTCGCGTCGGGCAGGAAACCGTCCGCCATGTTTGTAAGCGTAGCGCGCTGGGTTGCTTACTATTGGCTATGACCAAGAGCTGAAGCTCGTTTCTCATTGGCTGTTGATTCGTGTGGTTGCATGCGGTTGCATGTATGTGTAACCGTCACGCACAGTTGTCGTTGAAGTCGCAGCGGTTGCATTCGTTCGTAAGCATAGTGGTCGCTCCGAACGCAACTGTGTGAACGGGCCTTTAGTGACTTAGTACATGCGCTGACATTAGATTGGTCGGAGAAAACGTATTCAAAGTTTGCAACGTCGCCACGGGATGGCGCCGCACCCCCTCTGGCGATAGATACTGGCTAGGAAACACCTTCTGCAAGCGGCGACAGATGGCGGCGGGTGCATATTTCGAGTATTCGAGTGGGGTGGCTCGACGACGTGTACCTTCGTCCAGGGGGGGAGGGAGGGGGGGAGCAAACCCCGTCGGTGCCGCCACATTGGGTCGTTCGCATACAACTGCGCTATTGACCCCGTAAGTGATGAAGTTACAACATGACGCTCCGCTCCAAACAAACCGTTGCTAGGGCCGTTGTCATGGACAAATGCATTGGGGCTCGATGTGAGGTTAGAATTTTTCGATAAAAAAATATGTAGTTTTTGTAAGC